TAGGAGTACATTTAATAAAGCACCTCTCTGGGGAATTTTTGAAATGTTTTTGCTATGCTTTAAATAAGACAAATAACTGGAATATTTACAGTATTCATGGATGGGAAAGCTAAATACTGTAAATATGTCTATTTTCTCCATATTGATCTAGAGACCAATGTAATCCCATTAAAAATTCTAAGAGTACTTTTGTTCTCCCTCCGCCATTATCTTTTTTTTTAAATGTTTTATTGTGAATTATGTGATAGTTTACATGGGAGAACATTAGTTTTACATTCATCCTATCGTATATCATTTCATTGTTATGGTTACAATCCCCTCCATGCATCATCAAACAATGAAAGGGTATACCCAGCAAGCCTGCCTCTCGGTCTTCAGCACACAGCCCCTCTCCCTCTCTGGGTCTAGAGTCCCCAGCCACTCTATCTCTCCAATTCATCGTCTCTGCCTCCAACGCTGGTGTCACTATTTCTTTGGGTAGGGTCCTGCACTCCACTCTTCTCCCTTGATGGTCCCAGGGACCTCCACTCCTGGACTGCAAAGTCAACCACTCCCCTCCTTTTGCTACAAAACATCTACCTTTACATTTCCAACCCTCACAGTCAGTCCTGATAACAATTATTCATTATTGCCACAAGAGTTGTATCCCCATCTCCTTTCATCAGCACTGCCCAGTCAGATTGGATTACTCAGTAGAGATTCTACCTTCTTCCGTACCCTCTGGATCTAGGCTCCCTCTTGAAAGCTTGTATTCCAGTCACTTCTTGCCTTTGTAGCCACCACCACCACCACCCCCTTTTTGGGTAGCCAATGTCCAAGTTGCCCATCCCTGTCTACCCTGTGTATGGAGGAGGTTGGAATGATCCTCACTGTAAAGATTTGTTCCCTCTTTTGAGCTACTGCATCCATAGGTGTAGGTCAAGTTCATCAAATTGTATCAGATTACTCTTTTTTCCCCTCTTCTTTCTTCTTCCAGTTGAGTTCTGATCATTCAGCCATTCAAGCCAGGTCAAGTGAGTATTATCTGTAAGTGTGGGTGTTCTTGTGCATATGCCCTCACTTCTTATCAACTGGACGCCTCACTCTCCACTCTAGTCCTCTTTGGCTATGTTACTGACTATGGGCCCAGGAGTCCCCAGGTCTTGCCATGCTTCTAGCCAACCAGGTCTCCACCCGGGTTCACAGGAGTCTATTGAACAAGGTAGGACTTAGCTTGCAGCTTCGTTGCTGTTTGTCCCTCACTTCCCCTTATCGGTGACCAACATGGTCACCAGTCAGAGCGCATGTCTGCTTGTGTATTCCCCTTGAGTCTTAGTCTTGGAAGGAGGTTTGCTCTGATGGGAACTGACCGCTTGCCTTAATGTCTCCTGGACGAACAACTTGCTTGTTCTTGTAGTAGTCAGTCAGACTGCTGTGATTGTTTTGTATTTTTCCTGTCGGTCTTTCTTTCAAGAAGTATCTTCTATTCTTAAAGCCACTCTGGGCTGGTCTGCTTGTCCTTTCAAGTGGAGATTTCCCACCTCAGAAGATTCTGGATGGGGTTTAGGATTCCACCTATGGTCTTATGCAATGCAGAGGCTCCGCAGGAAGCCTCCTTCACTGGGCAAGTTGTAGCCCCATTTTAAGCATTCCAATCAGTTATAGGCAGAAGACGGACTCACAAGTTTCTATGGTGATGTTTCTGGCTAGGCCTTGCTCTCCCCCTCAAGTGTCCATTTTATAATGGTATGCAAGGGAAACAAAGATTCAAAAGACATCCAAGCATCTTAACATTATTTTCCCTTTTTTACCCATTCAAACCATGCCTCAATCCCTGTATTCCAGAGCCCTGTTGTTCCAAGACTGTGCATACATCATTATTTACCTCTGTCCCACTTAGCCCATGCAAACCTGCCTAACTGTTCTCCCATCCACCTTGTTCTTCCATTCCCCTCCCACTTCTTGTGTATTGCCCCCCTGTAATTTTTTTAACTTTTCTTAGTCTCACTTTCAAGTAGTACAAGACATACAAGCCTGTATAAGCCCTGATTGCTAGAACATTCTGTTTTCCCCAGAGGATGGGAAGCAGGAGGCCCCCCAAATAAGTTCTACTCGCAGAAAGCCTTCGTTAGTTCAGACGTGGGCTGTGAGCTTTGAATCCTTAGAAGGTGCCCATGTCCCCTCCCCAGCCCCCTAATCCTCATACTTCACCAGGCCCATTTCTTGGCTAAGGCAATCTCAGCCGGGAGCAAGGGCAAGGCTCTCCTGCAGGGAATGCTCAGAAGTCCTTGTCTGTAGCTCCCTCCTGGGGCTGATCCGGGGGGGTGTCAGGGGTGGATATGAGGATGGGAATGGGGAGACAGGAGGGTGCCAAGATAGGTAAGACCAGTTCCCAGCCTCCAGAGCACAACAGGTCCCAGGAGCTATCAGAAACAGGAAAGAGGGGTGGCCCAGAAGATTCTCCCACCTTTTCCTCCACTATGCCTGAAATTCCACCATAAACTTTATTCTTCTAGATCAAAGTCTTAATGGTGGTGGTGGTGTGCTGTGGAGTCGGTTTCAACTCATAGCAACCCTGTATAGGGTTTCTGAGGTTGTAAATCTTTACTGGAGCAGAAAGCCTCATCTTTCTCCCATGGAATGACTGGTAGTTTTGAACTGCTGACCCTGAGGTTAGCAGCCCGACTCGTAACCACTACGTTACCAGAGCTCCTTAAAGTCTTAATAGGAGATGGTATAACAGTATAGTGATTAAGTACTGGGGCACTGGACTCCTGACATTTTGTCTTTTAATCCTGGTTTGGTCACTCAAAGAAGGATTTGCCGTGTGACTTCAAGCAAATTACTTTTCTTATTTTTTAAAAATAGGATTCACTATAAATATTGTCACACATGAGCAAACTATCCAAGGTTACTCACTGTAGTCTCAAATACGATGACTGATGATTAAAAACAACCTAAGTACCAGACTGCGAAGCACAAGGTCTGTGATTCAAGCCCGCCAGTCGCTCTGCGGGAGAAAGATGTTGCTTTCTGTTCCCGAGATTTAAAGCCTCAGAAACCCTACAGGGTCGCCATGAGTCAGAACCGGCTTGACGGCACTCAACAACACCACCAACAAGCATCCATCGGTAGGGAACTGAGTCCCTGGGTGGTACAGTTAATACGGTGACTTGAGTCCACCTAGAGGAGGACAGCTCTGCTGTGACATACATGGGTTCACCATGAGTCAGGATCAAGTCCACACTGCAGACCCACAGCATCAGAGCCTGCATTTTTAACACAATGCCCAGGGGATTCATACCCACATTGGAGTTTGCGAAATGCTAGCTTGAAGTTAAATGGGGATGTGCATAGTCCCAAAGAGTGGGCCAGACTAGTGGGAACCTGGAAGGGGTCCTGGGCAGAAGGGCTAGGTGCCAGATGGGAGTGTTCTAACCCTAAGCCGTGGCATGTCCAAGTTTGTCCAGGGCCTGCCAGGCTTTGTGGGTTCCTGGATTGAAAATCTGGCAATGTTACTCCTCTTGCTACTCCCCACACTCATTCCCACCCTCGGGGTGAAGCCTGGTGGAGGTTGGGGGGTTGTGAGGTTAATTTTATAGGTCCACTTGGCTAGGCTATGATTCTCAGTGGTTTGGCAAACATGAGACTGCTTACTGTTCTACAATGTAATGTAACGTAGTGTAACCACATTTTGATGTGAGCTGATGGGATCTGCCAATCAGTTGAAAGAGAATGTGGCCTGCCTCCAGAAGCTAAACGGATGATCTGTCAAAGCTCACTCTCTCTCAACCCTGCACGCTTCGCCTTGCCTTACTTCCAGTTCTTGGGATGCAGACCTGGAGAAGCTTCTGACCTGCTATATATATGAAGTCCTGATGAGGTGCGGTAGAATGTGCACTGGGCTGCTAATCACAAGGTCAGCAGTTCAAATCTATCAGTCGCTCTCAGAAACCCTATTCAGGGTCACTATGAGTTGGAACTGACTCAACAGCACACAATAACAATAACAACATATATATGTGTGCTGTTGTGGGTTAATGTGCTGGAGTGCAAGTTTAGTTTGAAACACAAGGTCAACAGTTCAAGCTCACCAGCCGCTCTCCGGAAACCCTATACATGGTTTCTATGAGTCGGAACTGACTTGATGGCACTTAAAAATAACA